GCAAGTGGAGGTGGGGGGCATCTGCAGTATTACAAACCTGCCTGGTTGTTGTTATGGCAACCAGCCACTGCTCACCACTTCTGATAGTGTGTTTGTGTGTTTTGCACACTAAAGAGAAGGAAAGGTTTGCTCACAGCTGTAGACATTTCTAAAATATCAATTCAATATATCAATATACACAGACTTTGCTGGCAGATGAATATATGTATTTCTCACGAAACGTATTGCATTAACACATGTTTTGCTATACACATGTTTATTCCCTTTGTGTGTATTGGGACAAAACAAAAAAAAAGGGAGGAAAGAAAGCAAATTCGACATAATGTCACACAAACCTCCAAAAATGGGCTGGACAAAAGTATTGGCACCCTTTCACAACTGCGGATAAATAAGAATGTTACAAGCATGTGATGCTCCTGTAAACTCACCTGGGGCAAGTAACAGGTGTGGGCAATATAGAAATCACACCTGAAAGCAGATAAAAAGGAGAGACGTTCACTTAACCTTTGCATTGTGTGTCTGTCTGTGCCACACTAAGCATGGACAACAGAAAGAGGAGACGAGAACTGTCTGAGGACCTGAGAACCAAAATTGTGGCAAAATATCAACAATCTCAAGGTTACAAGTCCATCTCCAGAGAACTAGATTTGCCTTTGTCCACAGTGCGCAACATTATCAAGAAGTTTGCAACCCATGGCACTGTAGCTAATCTCCCTGGTCGTGGACGGATGAGGAAAATTGATGAAAGATTGCAACGCAGAATAGTCCGGATGGTGGATAAGCAGCCCCAAACATGTTCCAAAGACATTCAAGCTGTCCTGCAGGCTCAGGGAGCATCAGTGTCAGCGCGAACTATCCGTCGACATTTAAATGAAATGAAACGCTATGGCAGGAGACCCAGGAGGACCCCACTGCTGACACAGAGACATAAAAAAGCAAGACTACAGTTTGCCAAAATGTACTTGAGTAAGCCAAAAGCCTTCTGGGAAAACGTCTTGTGGACAGATGAGACCAAGATAGAGCTTTTCGGTAAAGCACATCATTCTACTGTTTACCGAAAACGGAATGAGGCCTACAAAGAACAAAACACAGTACCTACGGTAAAATATGGTGGAGGTTCAATGATGTTTTGGGGTTGTTTTGCTGCCTCTGGCACTGGGTGCCTTGACTGTGTGCAAGGCATCATGAAATCTGAGGATTACCAAAGGATTTTGGGTCGCACTGTAGGGCCCAGTGTCAGAAAGCTGGGTTTGCGTCCAAGATCCTGGGTCTTCCAGCAGGACAATGACCCCAAACATACGTCAAAAAGCACTCAGAAATGGATGGCAAAGAAGCGCTGGAGAGTTCTGAAGTGGCCAGCAATGAGCCCAGATCTAAATCCCATTGAACACCTGTGGAGAGATCTTAAAATTGCTGTTGGGAAAAGGTGTCCTTCCAATAAGAGAGACCTGGAGCTGTTTGCAAAGGAAGAGTGGTCCAAAATTCCGGGTGAGAGGTGTCAGAAGCTTATTGATGGTTATAGGAAGCGACTGATTTCAGTTATGTTTTCCAAAGGGTGTGCAACCAAATATTAAGTTAAGGGTGCCAATACTTTTGTCCAGCCCATTTTTGGGGTTTTGTGTGACATTATGTCATATTTGCTTTTCTGCCTCTGTTTTATATTTGTTCCAATACATACAAAGGGAATAAACATGTGTATAGCAAAACATGTGTTAATGCAATACCTTTTTTGTGTGAAATACTTGATTTTCAGGAAAAATATCAAGGGTGCCAACAATTTCGGCCATGACTGTATATATATATATATATATATATGGCATGTGAGAAGACTTTGAACATTGAGCATTTAAACTAATATAGAAATTCAAATTATAATCATTACACCTCTGGAATGATGTTTCCACAAAATTGTTACAGATTATCTATTCATTTGTCCCTTTCATTTTTGTTTAAAGCCTAATTAAAGTCAAAGATATAATTATTATGTCAGATAGATATTGTATTAAAGACTCATTTTCACAGTATTCACTTTTCTGCAGTTTTGCAGTGTCTAAACTTTACAGCAGAAGAGGCATCAGGGTTTGACCACACTGTCCACCACCCTCTAAATGACGTGGTCAGACATGTCCCCAATCTGACTCGGTGTATTTGTGATGAGGAATGTGGCCAGCACTGACCATTGGAGTAGAAGAGTAAGATGTGCAGTGAGAAATGTATTTATTTATTTCAGGTACTTACTGTATATAGCGCTGTCAATTTACGCAGCACTTTACATATACATCATACATTCACATCAGTCCCTAACCCTCAAGGGGTGTACAATCTAAGGTCCCTAACTCACATTCATACATACACATAATATCGACAATTTATAGAGGATCCAATTAACCTACCTGTATGTCTTTGGAGTGTGGGAGGAAACCGGAGTACCCCGATGGAAACCCATGCAGGCACAGGGAGAACATGTAAACTCCAGGCAGGTGGTGCTATGGTTGGGATTCAAACCAATGACCCTAGTACTGCCAGGCAGATGTGCTAACCACTAAGCCCCTGTGCCACCCATAAATAAAGCTATATAAGTAAAGTTATATAAAGAAATATAAGTGAGCGCATATAATGAGATCTTATAGTTAGTGTTATACCTAGTAGTCATTAGTACTGTAAGGGTATTCATAAATTCACACAAAAAAAGAGTATAAAAGCAAACTCTAAAAAATTATATGTAAAATTATGTAAATAAATTAATTAAGGATAAATGAAATAGCTGCTAGCACTTAAGGTATCGGTAACTGTCCCAATGTAAACGTATATCATAAACGTGCAGAACTGTAAACTCATGAAGGGGCATACCCCTGAGGACGTGCTGTTGCACGAAACGCGTTGGGAGCCTACATTGCTGACGACACGCTGCTACCGAGGAGCAGTGGCCATCTTGAATTAGATGACACCTGCCCCAACTGATGAATGGAGGGAGCTGCAGGAGTAAATCCGAAGCTGTCATTATACCCCCAGATGTGTGATATAAACAGATGCACTGATTTACTTGCAGTTTGGTGAGTGTACATCCATCTGAGGCAGAGGATTCTCTTCATCAATAACCGCATGTTTGCATTGCACACTTGGATAAAGGACATTAGCAGTTTTCACTGCCTGCTCTATAATATTTGTGGACTCTCAGTGATTCATTTATTTATTTGATTGCACTATTCACGCACTTGTTTGCACTTTATATATTTGAGTATAAGATATTTACATTTCATGAGTTTACAGTGCTGCACGTTTATGATATACGTTTACATTGGGACAGTTACCGATACCTTAAGTGCTAGCAGCTATTTCATTTTGCACTTTATATATTCAAGTAGGATATAAGATATTTATGTTTCATAAGTTTACAGCCCTGCACGTTTATGATATACGTTTACATTAGAAATAAAGGTACTTTAGGGCAATTCCAAATGAAAGTCAGGTAAAAAAAAATCATATGGCGCTACAGGACTATAAACAGGAAAAAAGTGTAAGGCTGCTTTCACACTTATCAGTTTTCTTCCATTTTTGCATTAAAAAAAGCGGAAGAAAACGCATGACCATTAAATCCCATGGAACTCTTCACGCTGGTCAGTTGTGGGTCCGTTGCACTTTTCAAAGTCTTGCAAGCTACATTTTTGGTGCTTGTTTGGTGTAGTAAAAAAAAAAACGCACCTCCCCTTTGAAATGAACAGAAAAAGTAATTAAATTATGGCAAAAAATGCATCAAAAATGCATCTGTGGTTGGGTTTTTGGTGCATTTTTTTCACAGGTACAAAACACACTGGAAATGCTGTGGCAGTACCCAAATATTGCAGAGTTCCCCTTTAAGCTTTAACATTTCTAAAAGCATCTGTTTGCAGAACCAGGTCATCAGCTCACTTCCTTCCCCTCATTTCCTGTGGAACAATGTGTTCCAGTCTAGCAGCTTACACCTTAACTTTCAGATGGTGATATTTTATCTAAATGTGAAACCGCAAAGGCTATATCCTGAACTGCTCAGAATGTATTTTAAAGGTACAAAAAGTAAAGCGGAAATATATGCATTGTGACGTAATTGTTGATATATACACCATGTAAAATGCTTTTCAAGGCACTTAGCTTCACACGAGTCTGGCTAGGTCAACCAGCTGGTAAATAAAAAGCTTGTTTTCCTCAAGTTTGTGTCCAGAGTTTACCTTGAGTTCCCAAAGTAGCCATTACAATGCAAAAACAAACCTTACAATACAAACCACCACTTCGCAATGCTGCTGCTGTGAAAAGAACTCAACTCAAACAAAAATATTATATGTTGCAGCTTATATACCGTATATGTGACAGCATTTCACTTATCATATACTGTATATCCACTTCAGCTCTGGAAGGTTTTAGCCCCTTCATGATCAGGCCATTTTTTGCTATTCTGCACTGCACTATTTCAACTGGTAATTGCGCGGTCATGCAACGCTGTAACCAAACAAAATGTATATCCCTTTTTCACACAAATGGAGCTTTCTTTTGGTGGTACTTGATCACCACTGGGTTTTTTTATTTTTGTGATATAAACAAGAAAAGACTGAACATTTTGAAAAAAAAAAAATGACATTTTCTACTTTGTGTAATAAAAAAATCTAATAAGTCATAAATTTAGGTCCAAATGTATTCTGCTACATGTGTTTGGTAAAAAAAAAATCTGAATATGTGTATATTAATTAGTTTATGTGAAAATTATAGCAACAACTACAAACTGTGGTATATGTAATGGAATGTATGCAGTTTTTACTTTCTGACTGCCTATCACATCTCTATAAATATAATTTCCCAAAAACTTGTGGCAAAAAATAAAATCTTCCATTCACTCAACATGCCTCTAAGCAAATACCTTTTTTAACCACCTTCCACCCGCCCTATAGTACAATGACGGGTGCAAGGTGGTTCTCTCCTTCTGATAGGACGTCATATGCCATCCTACCACTCTCACTGCGCATGCGCGCCTCAGGGCGGCAATTGCCGGTCTGCTGTGTCCCTCGGACACAGCGGATCACGGAAAGAGCCGAAGATGTCGGCTCGGTCATGTGATCAGCTGTGTCCAATCACAGCTGATCACATGTAAACACGGAAATGCCGGTTACCGGCATTTCTCTCCTCTCGAGCTGTCACGCTGACAGCTCGGGAGGAGAGGAGAGCCGGTAATCGGCTTTCCGCAGAGGGGACATGTACACTGATCATCAGGGCACTGATGATCAGTGTGCCCTGATGATCAGGGTGGCCCCAGAAGTGCCACCTGTCAGTGCTCATCAGTGCCACGTGCCAGTGCCCATCAGTGCCACGTGCCAGTGCCCATCAGTGCCACATCAATGCCACATATCAGTGCATACCAGTGCACATCAATGCCACATATCAGTGCCCATCTGAGCTGCCTTTCAATGTCACCCATCAGTGCCAGTCAGTGCCACCTATCAATGCCAATCAGTGCCACCTATCAGTGCTGCCAATCAGTGCCACCTATCAGTGCCAGTCAGTGTCGCCTATCAGTGCCAGTCAGTGCCGCCTAACAGTGCCAGTCAGTGCTGCCTAACAGTGCCAGTCAGTGACGCCTATCAGTGCCAGTCAGTGACGCCTATCAGTGCCATATATCAGTGTCATGTATCAGTGTCATGTATCAGAGCTGCCTTTCAGTGCCCATCAGCTATGCCTGTCAATGTCCATAAGTGCAACCTACCAGTGCCTCCTCATCAGTGCCCATCAGTGTCACCTATCAGTGTCCATCAGTGCAGCCTATCAGTGCCCATCACTGCAGCCTCATTAGCGCACATCAGTGAAGGAGAAAAATCACTTATTTACAAAATTGTATAACAAAAACTAAGAAAAAACAATTTTTTTTTTTCAAAATTTTCAGTGGTTTTTGGTTTGTTTAAGAAAAAATAAAAATCCCAGAGGTGATTAAATACCACCAAAAGAAAGCTCTATCTGTTTCAAAAAAAAATGATAAAAATTTCATATGGGTACAATGTTGCATGACCGCGCAATTGTCATTCAAAGTGTGACAGCGCTGAAAGCTGGAAATTGGCCTGGGCAGGAAGGGGGTATAAGTGCCCTGTAGGCTAGTGGTTAAAGCAGAGGCCCTGGAGAATAAAAAGGTGGATGTTACAATTTTTTATGTCACACAGTATTTGTGTAGCAATTTTTCGAAAGGCAAATGTTTTAGAAAAAAATAAACTTTTTTTAATTTTAAGGCACAAAAACACAATATTTTGGCCAACTTTTTTTGCAAAAATATAAAATACGATGTTATGTTCAGTAAATAGATACCAAACATGACATGCTTTAAAATTGCGCACAACAGCGTGCAACATAGCGATCACATGATCACCAGGTCCCGATTACCGGGATCCACATTTCGATGTGTCCGGGGGAAGCACAATGGTCGCAGGGGGCATGGGGGGGGGCAAACTGTGTGCCACAGCAAGTGCGCAGTGCTCTCTGTGTCAGTACAACCAGAGCGACATACAGGTATGTCTTCTGCCTGTACATGCCACCCGTCTGCGGTAAAGGTGCTGTGAGTGGTCGGCAAGTGGATAAGCTCTCTCTCTCTCTCTCTCTCTCTGTATATATATATATATATATATATATGTGTATCAGAAGGAGGTAACTCTAGAGGCCAACTGAGTATGCTGGCGAGGGACATGCTGCATTCACTAGCCCTAGCGTAACCTGCCCTCCTGAAACTTTCCAAGCAGTAAATTACAGTGCAGTTTTATTTGGAATCTGTTCACCTAAGTCCATTTAAACACAGTCAGAATTCTTAAGCCCTGATGAAGGGGGAGTGTATTTGACCCTTGGAAAACACTGGCTCTATTCAGCTTTGAATCAATTTTATCATTAAATTACCTTGGAATCTTGGATGTTTGGTGATCTGATTAAATTATATATATGTGTGAGGACATGAGTAAATAGCAGAGAGATGAGCTCCCCAAACTGCTGTTCTTTCTTTACTGTGAAATCACAGCTTTAAGGTGACCTAGCTGTATTGCTTACAGTGAGTGTATAGTGCTTTTGTGCATGCTAATACAAGGACATTTTATTTAAAAATTGCTTTTTAGCTAGGTAAATATAAAATATTGCACATTAATATTTATCATATTGTGATCTGTTTGTGATTTGTGTTGTAATAAAAGACCCTTTTGTTTACAGATTCCATAGCTCGGGTGCAGTGTACACACAGAAGTGGGAGTTACAAAGGGAGCCACAAGGTAAGCATCATCTATGTTATCTTTTTAGCTACTCCATAGTACTCAGGGAATCATTTTTCCTTTATTTCATTTTTATTTATAAACATATACTGTAAATAAAAATGTGAATTTTTTTTTTATTTATAAACATATTACAGTATATCATATAAAGCAATAACCTAAATTGTATAAACATAGGAAAGGAAATTGACTTAACAACATTAGAGATTCTACTTATCTGTAGTAAAGTCAAACAGTATTAGCCAGGCTCTGCTGTGTAGGAAGAAGGAGGCTGTTTAAATATCAGGACTGAATGGAAAGCAAGGATATACAAATCTTTTGCAGGTAGAACTGTTCTAATAGTTGTATTTTGCAAATATGTATTTAAACTGTATATTTAGCTGTGGTAGGTTCTACAGAACCGCTATAATACTTGGTGTCAGGTTGGAAATGTGACAGTGTGGAAATTCTACCATTTGCTTTGCTTTCCAACAGTACCAAAACTGTATCCATAGAGATCTTATTATCACGAAATGTGATGGTCACAGTGACAAGGAAAGGAAAAAGAAAGGGGTATAACACAAGAAGTGCCATCAGCTCTGAAACAGTACAGTGGAGAGGTCCTCTTGTTGATGGGACTTTAAAGGCACAGATTTACCAGATAGTAAGCTAACAGTTCAACAGTTAAAAAGTAAATAATTTTTATAACAACGCTCTGCAACCGCCTCGCAACCGCACTGCAAACACCTGCCAGGTGTTTACAGAGTGGCACCATAGACTTGAATGGGAGGCTTCAACTCCTCCTGACTCGGCACAAGGCAGTGCGACGCAACGCTGTTTAGGTTTCTGCATTTTAGTATTTAGTTCTGATTTTCATGCATTTCATGTTTATTGCTGCTGGTGCGTAGTTACCTTACATCCACTGTAAATAAATCTCACTTTAAAGATATACACATATGGTCTGGTCCCAGTTTCTTTGTGTAGCTACATATAAAGTACCAGGTCATCCCAGCTGCTGACTCCTGACAGTGCATGGTCTGAATGGTGAGGTGTGGAGCACATTCCGTGGATGGTAACACACTTTGGTGATTATGACAAATATAGAGTGTGAGTTTTATTTTACTGAGGGATATTTATAATTATAAAGGTACTACACTATATGAGTATTTTCTTTTTTGGGGATTTCATCCAATGAGGAGATCAAAGGGTGAGAATTTTGGAAGGAACATTATTTGTAATATTGCAAGAGTTGCTTGGATTGAGAGTAAGGGTAGATGTGGTGGATAGTAAAAGTTTTGGCGTGTTGGAGATAAGTTTGACACACATTTTTGTTTTCTATGTGAGCATGCCTATTTAATCTATATCAGCTCATATATTTTAATTTACTACTCTATATGCGATTAATGTTTTTTTTTTGCATGGGGGGAGAGAAACAAGGTGGAATCACACTGACACTCAAGAGAAGACACAAGTGTATTGATTGAAAGACTTTATTTTCTTCGTTGTCTGGTGTGAGCATGAGAAGAACACAATAACTCATATATGGAGGATTTTGTTGCATGATTATATGATTTTGTATATGAACTTTTATAGAGACTGTGGAATTTACAATAAACACTGTTTTTAATACACTGTTGTATTTATCTGAAAATTTGAATTGGGGCCAATAAAGTGAGGTCTTGTGAAAGCATTCCTCTTGCTTTTTGAGAGCCATTGTAAGGTCTTCCAGTAGGAAGGAATACAAATACTGACAGCATTAATGAGGTGAATCGCTACAGAATGGAAATACGTCCACCTCATGAGTGAATTGAGTTGAAGGGGACAAGCAGCAGGGTTTCCTGCAATATACTGGCCAGTAAGTTGTAAGATTAAATATCAAAACCCTGTCCAAAAAGCTCAGATGTGTGGGCATGACCAAAATATATAGAATAAGGAACTCCTGGAACTTTTGCATCTCCAACAAGTGGGGTCAGCATCTGGGCACATACAATTAAGTTGTGTAGGGACCTTGTACCATCTGCTAAGTAATTTATAGCCAGATCCCTGGAGCCTGGAAAATATAGAAGATTTATAAGCAAAATGGAGAATATGGTAACTTTGTTCACGTGTAAATTGTTTTTTGAGGTGCTCTTCCCAGTACATGGTTCTCTGGGAAGGGGGGGGGGGGGTGATAAAGGTAGTATAGATGATAGAAAGGCCATGTTAAAGTGGGGTAGGGTCTTTGCAGTAGCGTTCAAGAGTTGAGAGAGCCTAAAGTTCTGTTTGGTAAGTCGGAATAGAAAATGAGAAGAGCTTGATCTGATAGACCTACCATAACGAGGGTTCAATCATCAATTGAATAGCAGAAGTGGTCTTCCAACCTCCAGTCGTCCTAAAGTCCATAAATCTATAGATGTTTGCTTGCAAAAAAGGATGGAATTTAGGGTCCATGCACCATGGGGCAAAATAAGGATTGCCTATTATCGGGAGCAGAGGCAAATTCAGAGAGGTGTTGATGACTGAATTGTGTGTCTTAAGGATATTCTGAAGGGTTGTGCCTCTGAGTGGGTGGTCTCTGAGGGAGATGGGTCCTGAAACTGACAGCCATGGGAGCACTTTGCATGCCTACACCAGTCTAAAAAGGTTGGAAAAGTGGGTTGTCTGATGGTATCTAATAGCGTCTGGGAAGCCCAGCCCCTGCAATCCTCACCCCCTGTAGACTTAGTGTTACAGCACTTTTTCTAGGGACATGATCTTCCCACAGGAGCTGTACAAAATCCATTTTGAGGGTGCACAAAAGTGTGTTAGGGATAGTGACTGGCAATTTATGGTAAAGATATAATAGATGAGGCAGCATGTTCATTTATAAAATGCTTTTCCTAAACCATGTATGGGGAAAAAAGGCACCATTTCCTCAGGTCACTACAGATAGAGGAGAGAAGGGGAGGAAAATTTGTTTTAAATACTTGCCTGAGAGCCAAAAGTAAGGAAACCTCCCAAATACTTGAGTTTCCCGGGGGCCCACTTAAATAGAAAGTAGGACTGTAGAGTATGAAGACACATAGGTGGAATGTTGACATTTAATGCTTCAGATTTCAGCAGGTTTATTTTGTAGTTGCAGAGCTTGGAATAAGCATCCAATTCTCGTGAAGATATGGAAACCGGGTTTAGTAATAAAGAACAATAGGTTGTCTGCATATGCTATGACCTAATGAGACATCCCATGAACTT